TCCACCGCCTCGCGCTGCTGCTCCCGGGCCCGGCACCATAGAGTTTGGCGGAAGGAGCGGCACTACCCACCTCCCATCCAGCCCCCCCAATCTCCCACTCTATGGTCTCATTGTCCCGGCTCTCCTAGCTAGGGGCTCTCTAGTTTGCGCACAGCCAATCGTGAGAATTCAGCCATCCTAAACTCCGCCTCCTTCAGAGCCAACCAATCAGCGTGTGGGTACGAGAATTAGGCGAAGCCGGGGGGCGGGGCTGGGCCAAGCGCCACCTACCGACCGAGAGCGGGGATTGCAGGACGTGGGAAGAGGGGACTGTATGGGGACAGCCCCGCTCTGTGAGGACAGGAGTGGGAACTGGCTTCTATAGGGGGCATTCTATAGGAGCAGGTAGAGGCTCACCCCCCAGACAGGGAAGTGGCTGAGCCCACGGCCATAGGGGGAGGGAAGGGAATTCTATAGGGGTTGAGTCTCGTTCCCTGGGGACTATAGGGGAAGGGATAGTTTAGCGGCTAAGCTCCGCCTCTGCCTTGAAGGACAAGTCAGGAAAAAGGCGAGGGAATTTAAGCGATGGAGTTTCCATAGGGCTGAGCCCCACCCCCTCGTGCACGGGAGGGGCAATGTATATGTGCTAGGCGAGCCCAGGGAAAGGGGCTTCTACAGGGACTGACTCGCACCCGAGAAACGAGGAGGGGGAGGAGACTTTATTCCATGGGGCAGAACCGTATCCCCAGGAGCACGTGTGGGGGATTCTTTGTAAGGGATGGGGGTTGGAGCAGTGAGATAGTGTGGTAATTGCACGGGGGTTCCCATGAAGTGGGAGACAGTATGGGGGATTTCGCCCAGGCACAGCGATCGGTCTCCTCAGAAGGGGGCTCTGTGCTGCGTGGGGTAGTTGCTCCCACTATCCCGGCTCCAGATTAGGTTAACGGGGGGCTTGCAGGGAGCGCACCTCTGTGTGTTAGAACTGGGCGGCGCATTGATGGGGAGCAGCAGAGACCTAGGGCAGCTCAGTGCATCGCAAACACCCCTTTATAGCCCAGCTCCCCGACTTCTTGCTGGGTGGGGGACTCGGAGTCAAAGGGGGGTGAGTGGCGAGGGGGGAGACCTGGGGCTGCTAATAACCATCCGAGCCCCGTTACCTACCACCAGCCCTCTACCCCATATCCCACCCTGTTCGCCCCATACCGCCCCCTTGTATCCCCGTCCCCCCTCCAGGGCTAGGCGCGCAGTCGGGGGGAGGATGAGACCCTGGGGGTGCCCCCATCTCCTCCCCCCACGCTGCAGAAATAGAGCGCGGCCCCTTTAAATTTACCCAGGAGCCCTTAAAGGAGCCCCAGGGCCCCCAGGCAGGAATCCCCCCCCCGGCCGGAGCAGCCTGTCTCGGCCGCA